AAATTGGTGTCCGAGATGTGCAAAATTTTATCTGGATCAAATTTTCTTTGGACAATTCAGAGAAATTCTCTGGATTGAATTTTCTCTAGATCGATGTTGAGGGACCTTATACATTATGAAAATTTTTGATGTCTTTTATGCTATAGAATCTTAATACCAGAGACCTTAAAAAAAATCCCCTATATTTTTTTTTATAAATATGTAATATTGTTTTATAAATTATCACTGATAAGTAATTTTCCCAAATAATTATCCTAAATAACACCAAAGGCTAGAGAAGATCTAAACAGAAGATTATTCAAACCACCCCCCCCTCCCCTCCAAAAAAAAATCTAAACAGAAGATTTAAACAAGGCAAAATTATAAATTAGTGGTGCCTTCACAAAATATTTATAAATTTATAAAAAAATTCATAACTTTAATTATTGAAGTTAATAAGACTTATCACTAATTTAAATTTTATTTTTAAAAATATGTACTAAATTGCAATTTTCTATTAAACAATCACTTCCTACTTACTGATAAATCCTTTTTTTATTTTAATTTTTTATTGATCCACTTCGCATTTTTTGCATAATGATTTGCAATTTATATATTCAAACCATGGGTTTAAATAACATGCCAAAATATATATCAATGTCTAAAAATTTCAAAATTTTAATACGTCCGTAACGGGCAATATCATATGGATCAGTTGAATATGGATAGAAAATCTTAATTTTAAGGATAATATGAACATGGGATTAGGTGGGGAATAAGCGCGTTTTGCGCTGTCTTTAAATATTAAATTAATTAAACATATGATTCACCTCACATTATTGTTGTCTATGTATATGTGCTTGATTTGATTAATAAGTTTCTTTGCTTGCTTGGTATGTAGGGGACTAATATGGACATCCACATTATTTATGAATATATAAGCATTATTTTATTTTTATAATAATAATAAATTAAAGACAAGTGCACACGAGTGGATTGCCTTGATTAGCAATTCATCCCTTTCTAATAATAATAATAATAATCAACAACAACATTAATTAATTAAAAATAAATTTGATCCAATTAACGCCGGCTTCTAGAATCTTCTAGAATGCAGGCCGTGGAGGGGTTTTTGACATAGCCCTCACAAATTGTTTATTTTGGCATGTCCCAAAGCAAGGTCTTTTTAGACAAAAATAAATAAATAAATAAAAATTAAAAACAAAGATAACAATTCACACTCTAAAATCAAAACTCACGTTTTCCTTTTATCTCCTATATGTAAGATTATTTTGTTTTAGGGTGTGGTAATTTATTACCATGATAAAAATAAAAAATAAAAAATAAAAATAAACTTTCATTACAAGGTAAAAAAATGCTAGCAAGTATCTCTAAGTCACTAGCTAATTTCAGGATTGAAATAAAAAGTGTTTTGAAAAAAAATTAAAATGTTAATGGTGTGTTTGGTTGGGGGATTTGGAGAGGGATTTGGAAAGGGAAAGGGAAAAGGTGTGTGAAACTATGTGAAATATAAGCATGATTTATTCACATTTCACCTACCGTTTCCATTTCCCTTTCCAAATCCCTCTCCAAATCCCCCAACCAAACACAGCATAAAAGTTTAATGAAATTCCTGAAAAATGTTTTGAAATCAGTGAAGAATGTCTCATAATCTTTTTCTTTTTCTTATACTTGGGATAATTGTTAGCATGATTTTTATCATTCTGAAGTCTCATTTGGGAGCACTTATAAATAAATTTCTGAAGTCTCATTTGGGAGCACTTATAAATAAATTTATTTAACTTATTTGTTGTTATTTGAAATTATAACTTATTTGAAATTATAACTAAAAAGAATTATTTGTCACAAAACTTTAAAAATATATGTATCATTTTATATATTAAATAACCCTCCCAATATAAAAAATATATATGTCATTCCCCTTCTATCTTGAATTCTCTTTCTATTTTACATCAAAAAAACTTATTCATCATATTAGAAATTGCTTCTATAGTATTTAATTTTTTTTATTATGTATGTATAACTTATATATCATATATACATATATGCGTGTTTTGTGTATATAGTGAAAAAAATTATTTTTCTTTTGACCTCTCTGGTAATGAAATTCTGATTCTGTCCCTGCACACACATATACACAAAGAAAAAAGAGAAAAAAAAAAGAAAAGATAAGATTTTCTTAAGTTACAATTTGTAACATTTTTTAGCTGAATCAAAACTCTCAAATAAGTATAAATGGACAAAGAAAAACCATCTCTTTTATCTTAATTATAATTTTTTAGGTCATTCTTGAAATTCGCAAAACAAAAAAATTATGTCCCAGAGTATTTAACCAAATATGTTCAATTTTTTTTTTTCACAAATTTCAAAAGTTACACCAAATAAATTTACAACTTATTTAATTTTTTTTTTAAAACTAAGAATCTATAAAAATAAATCATAAAATTTAACTTATAATTGGAAATGATACCAAACCGAGCCTTAGACCCCAAGGAATAGGTTTGCTCAACATGTCACTTCTTTCGTCTTCTTTTTCCCTTCCTTTTGGGCCCACTTCAACTCAAACAAAGCTATACTTGGCCCAGTCCAATACATAGGCCCATATAATTAACATATGACCCGTTAGTTAATTTCAACAGGTCCAGTTTCATCTGGTTTTTAAAATTAATTTCTCCTATATAAAAAAAATAAATTTGTAGTCAATTTTTTTCATCGTGTCGTATTGCAAAAGAATATTATTTTTTTATTAATTATTATTTTTAAATAAAAATTAATTATAAATATTTACGTAAAATTGATACAAAATAATTATAACAACCGGTGATATATATCATTTCTCTGTAAAATTAAGTTATTTTGAATCGTGAAGAGTCACTCCCATGACACAATAGTAGAATCTCATAACACATTATTGACTCGGCAGAATATTAGCCTATCATGAGATGTGTAGGCTATTAGTATTTTGAGCGGATCATCAAATTAAATTAAATATTATATATAAATATATATTTAACATGTACATGTACTTATGTAATAGTGTTGTTATTTTTGTAATGTGTATATATTCAGCTTAAAAATTGTGAAATTATATATATACATATATATATATATATATATTGTTTAAAATGTAAGATATGTGTTGGAATAATGTGAAAATTCTAGAATTTCTGTAAGTATTTAACATACCAAAATTTCCAAACCTCTCTCTCTCTCAATCTCAAATTCTTTTCATCATTAATTTTGTATTTTCCAAAATCCAAAGAAAATATTTGCTACACTTTGTAAGTGAATATGCAATTGCACATCTATGAAAATAGGCCCTTCTAGTTATCAAAAGAGGGCATTTTAAAACTAAGGGTTAGCTTAATGGATGAAATACTTTACTTTTCAAGTGTGTTGTTCGTGTTTGAGTCCCCTCATTGTAAAATTACGAGGTTGTCTTGAAATATTATGTGGTATTTGGTTATATGGTATACTTTTGGTAAATGAAAAACCACAAAATATATCAGATGAGTCATCTCTTGTCTCCTAATTACTTAACAAAGGTAAATCAATGTTGTTCCACTTATAATGTTTTTGCTACATCAAATGTTGGAAACACTATATAAACAACACCACATGATATTTCAAAACTACTGAATAATTATTCTTATGAAATTATTGTACGATGTAAGTTTTCCCTTTTCATATTTCTCTCCTATTGATTGTTAGAAATAAACTAAAGTTACCATTTATATGAAAAATAATGGATAAGAATATTGTTCTCATTGGACATGGCGGTTGGTCTAGTGGTTCATGTAACCATGTCTTGGGATAGTGAGAATATTAGAGGTTCAGTATTCAAGTCAATAGAGCAACTGCACATTTTTCGTTGTAATCTAACCCACTAATATCTTATTTTTTGCACAAAAAAAATAAAAATGTTCCCATTCTAGATTTCTTTCCACTGAAATTATACCCTTTTGGATTCACCAACTTTGTTTTTCCCATTTTTATTTACAGTACTTTACTGATTGTTCCACGTTAAAAGTTCCCCCTTTTACCATGCATGCAAGTGGGATTTAGAAATAATTAGAAAAAATCATTAAAGTTTTTTAATTATGACATTATGATATTGTCATTCACCAATCATCATCATTATGGTTGGCATATAGTCAGGGAAACTAGCTAGTTCCTAGTGGAACATCATTTGAATCCAAAAGAAGAAACATAATCAATCTATTAAAATGTAAAAATTTATAGATTTACAACATATATAAATTAAATTATTAATAAAAATGATGTGGTTATAGCATTTTAAAAAATATAAACCACCTTAATGTGTGTCTTTTAGTTTAAAGTGATAATAATCAAAGTTTACCATGTCATTTTGTATTAATTTTTGAAAAATGCTAATAAGTACGTCTTTGGAACATTATCTACTATTGAAAAGTATGAAAATATTAATAAAAAAAGTTTTCAAATCAATAAAAAAATATTATGAAATCAATAAACAGTGTTTCGTATTATTTACTTTTTATCTCTTGTGCCTCTTGGGCACTTTTAGCAACACCTTTAATTTTTATTACAATTTTTTTTTTTATTATTTGTATAGCACTGTTCTAAAATTAGACAACACCAAGTGGATCTAATTTCTAAAAAGGGTAATATTGCACAAATATATTTACGTACAAAATTTTCAAATAGAATGATGTATTTATATAGATCCATTCATTAAAAAAACCAAAGTCCATCCAAGTGACTCGTAATTATAAAAATATCACCGTCACATTATTTTGTGTAAATTCTTTTTACAAAAATTATGTATGTTTAGCATTTTTGCTCTGTACATTTTATACAAGTTAACTCATCCAATAAGGCCAACAATTTGTGATTGCTCCACTATGCCTTTGTGCTCTTAGTGCCCTAACATTTTCATCTTAGCTTCCCATTAATCATGATTAAGCCAAGATATATATCTTCTATAAATTCTCTTCTTCTAGTAGTGCAATGCTCATCCCTCATTCTACCAAAGCACAAGAAGAAAACAGGTATGTCAATACACTTCTTTTACTAGTTCAATCTAAATAGAAGAGTTCATTCTAAACTATTTTTTTTATCATGCACTTTTGATTACGTTCTAACTACTAATTTTCAATTATTGCTTCTAACTTTGAAAAAAGGCAGTTTGATCATGAAGACGATAATCATACTACTCCTTGTTGTATCGGCATTGTTGTGCCTTCAAGCCAATGGAAGAAGGTCTATTTTGGAGGAAGGTAAGAAAGAGAAAGCTAACAATCCGAACAATTATCCCGGAAAATCAAGCACTTATGGGAATTCAAATAGTGCAATATCAGTGCCAACAGTTGATTCCAATAATAATGAGAACAACAACGACGTGAATAACAATGACAACGACAATAACAGTACTGATGACAACGCTGACGAGAAGAACAATAGTTATGGAAATTACAGTAATGCTTCTGGATCATCTACTGATACTCACCATGTTTACCCAGATGATTGTCGCCCTCCCCATTAAATATGTTGATTCTCAAGTGGGATATAATTAATGTTGTGTGCATTTATAGTATGAGAGGAGAAAAATGAAAGTGGAAACATTGTGATGCCCTAGTTAACTATGTTGCCTAAGGTTCACATGTTATTCCATGCATCAAAGTGTTTGTAACAATAAGATAATCAATGGTTATGTGTGTGCTCTACCAGTTAATTGTCTTATTGTATATGATGAGTGTATGGCTTGTAGACCTAGTGTGTGCTTGTGTTCAAAACTTCAAATTGTGTGCAAATAAATAAAAAAAAACCACGGGTCTCATGCATGGTTTGTTTTCTTGCTAGCTTAATATATGGAGTGAATTAATGCATGAATGATAGTAGTAGTTTCATGAATCACGCTACTTTTTTTTTTTTTGATCGGCATGAATCACGCTACTTTGAGGTTCAATTGACAATAAAACTACTCGCCTAAAAATTCATCAAGAAATTTTGCCCAATATTAGTAAATGTGGTTAAGATTCAATTAGTGTTTAGTAAGATTCATGCATACAATGAATCTGGATCACATATTGATGTTTCTGAAATTTTTGAGTATGTAGAATTGCAACACTTTGGTTTTCTTTTATCTTGTTTTGTTTTGTATGCATTCATTGTTAGTATGTTTAATGAACAAAATTTCCATTTATTTCTATTGAAATGGCCGAAATATTTCTAGTTTCTAATTGAATTTATACTTAATCTTTTACAAGAAACTATCTAAATCCCAATATGTTTAATTAATCAATAATTAAACTTTATTATAATTACATAAATTTCAATTTTATGTTTCTCCGAACTTTTCTATATAAATCCCAATGAGTTTAATTAATCAATTATTAGATGTAATATATGTATATAGATTCCAAATTATATTTCCAAACATTTCTATATATTTTTAAATTCTTTTTGTCGCTTCAAAATGTTTTTGAAACATTTCAAAATATTTATGTTTTCGTGATAATCCAAACAACACATTTTTTAATTTTTTTTTTGACATAATCATGCAACACAATGAAACTAAATTTTGATACTTGAGTATGTTGCGTATTAGCTAATGTGACAAATAATAACTAGTGAAAGAGAACTCTAATCGTTCCAATGCCATAAATGATTTCAAAGCAGTATAAACCATTTCTCTGGGAATAATCTTAAAGTTGATCCTTTGCTCCTGGATATATGATGAACAGCGATATATATAGACATGTTTTACATTCTATGCAGATGGACAACACAAATGGAATTAATGAATGCTTTTTTTCAATTTTAAAAACACCATTATATATCATAAAAAGCCTGCCAAAAGATATATTGTCACTTACATGACATCATTTCTAAGGGGAGAATATATATGAAATTCTGATTCAGAAATTAATGCCATTAAGTTTTGTCATTTCTAAGGGGAGAATATATATGAAATTCTGATTCAGAAATTAATGCCATTAAGTTTTGTTCTAATAAAAGTTTGAATATTCTAAATTTTATGCAAGAAATACTTATTTTTAGTAGTGGCTTTAGAAATTTCTCTTCAGATAAAGAGAAAATATTATGAGAATTACATTAAACTAACTACGAAAGAAAGTCCAACGTACAATCACAAATATACAATAAATCTAATAAGTATAAGAAAGAACTCAAACAAATACAAAAGGGTAGATAAAATAAAACATCTATCCCTATGAGATATATGAAATCTTGACCAATGGGCTAAACTTCGTAGACATTAAAAAATTGTTATAAAAATAAAAAAATTAGTATGCTTGAAGATGACTTTTTAATTTTTTACAAAACGATATGCAAAAAGTATGAAAAAAATATTTGACTTTTTTTTTTGGGTACAATTTGTTGATTTTTTTTGGCCTTTTTAAATAACATTTTGACTTTTAAGTTAACAGTTGACGGTGGCAAATGACTACTTGTGATCGTTATTTTAGTAATAATAAAAACAGCAATGGTTGAGGGTCACAATTTTTGTGGCTCAAATGGCTCGAAATTGTCAAAACGATATTGTTTTGAGTACAAAACAACTTCAAAATTGCCAAAACGACGTCGTTTTGGCAATTTTGAGCCATTTGAGCCACAAAAATTGTGGCCCTCAAGCATTTTCCTTCTAAATTTTATGCAAGAAATGCTTATTTTTAGTAGTGGCTTTAGAAATTTCTCATCAGATAAAGAAAAAATATTATGAGAATTACATTAAACTAACTACGAAAGAAAGTCCAACGTACAATCACAAATATACAATAAATCTAATAAGTATAAGAAAGAACTCAAACAAATACAAAAGGGTAGATAAAATCAAACATCTATCCCTATGAGATATATGAAATCTTGACCAATGGGCTAAACTTCGTAGACATTAAAAAATTGTTATAAAAATGAAAAAAAAAAAAAAAATCAAGTTTGTAAGTCAGTAAAAAATAAATTGTTATTATTATTATTATTGAAAAATGGAATAGGCTAGAAATAAAAAAGCTATTCAAAATTTTGATGAAATGAGCTCAAACCAACGACTCATGGTGTTCAAATTTTTTTTTTTCCACAATTTTGTCAAAGTGACAAAGTGGCACTTGGCGCTGATATGTGCAAAAATAAGGTGACAAGTGGTGAGGAGGATGTTCAATTATTTATTTATTTATTTATTTTTAATACAAAATTGACAAATGTCAATCAAAATATATATTATGAATATTAATTTTTTTTTAATTTTTTTTTTTAGTGAATATCCTCTACTTTTAGTGGTGTCGCGCTGCTTACATAGCATAAATAAATAATCATAGGCACAGTTATAACTAATTAATCAAAAAATAAAAATTTAGTTAAATAAATAAATAAAAGCTCTCTGTTTTGACAATTCTGTAATAAGGTTTGCTATAATAATATTTCAGTGATTCTATTTCTTAGGTATTAATAAGTGTGAAAGAAAGCACATTATCAATGGTAAATAAAATAAAATAAAATAATCACAAAAGTTGGGGTCAAACAAAAAGAATGATGCAGGTTTTGAAAAACAAGTTTTAGTTAGTGTGTAAATAACCAATTGTTTTTAATTTAATAAATAAATATTTACCCTTAAAAAATTAAATTAAGAAATTTTTTATATTTAAAAAAAAAAACCCCAAAACAATTTCAAAATACAACTCAAAACTCTTTTCAAAACTCATAACCAAATAAATTTTCTGTTTTCAAAACTCATTTAAAAAACTTATCTTTCAAAACACAATTTTACGCTCAAATTATGATTTTAAAATTAAATCAAACCGAGCCTCAACATAAAGATCTCCAAGACCTTTGCTCAGTTTCTCAAGAAAATAAAATATGACTATTGATGATCTATATAAAGTTCTCATCACAATGCTTAGTACCATTATTGTCTACTGTAAAACGATTAATTAAGGGGATAACTAGACATTTTTTTCCGGGCAAAGAATGTTGAGAAAACATCATGATGCAAGTTTATTAATGTCAAGATAATTTTGCAGTACCCACCACAAAGTGTGTAGATCATGCCCCATGATAACAGGGAAAATGATGATCAATAGAGAACTTAATATGAACTAAGCTTGTGGAATCCTAATGTAAACTTGATTAGGATCCCCGCTAACACTATTAGATAGTGTCTCTTTATTTATTTATTTATTTTATTTCTATTAGATAAAGTTTCTTCAATTAGATCACAAGACTTAATTTAGTTCGGTTTGGTTTGGTTCGGTTTAGATATTGTCTGTTCATGTAAAAAACAATGCAAATGACATAAATGGCAACTTACAGTTGGTGAAAGTGTTGATCTCAATAAGTCGCTTGTCCCAAGTGTGGGGTGTAATTTATGCTTATAGTTTATGAGACAAAAATACTTTACAAATCTAGAAAAAAACAAAACTAATTATTTGGAAGTTGGGGGAGTGGTGGTTTTAGTTTATGCATAGTGAATATTTACTTTCAACTTGAAGAAAAACTACACCAAATAGGCGGTAGATTGCCCCCCATTGTAGGTTAAAAGTTCAGTATTTTATGCCCCACTGCAGGTTGTAATTTTTCAACTATTTTCCAACATTAGTGCCAAAATTATACAACTATTTTAACCCATATAAGAAACAATATTAACCATGGAAGAATATAGAAAATTGGGATTCTTCATTTTAGATCTGTGAACCTCTAATCAACAATAAGGCTGCTATTTCCACTGCAAAATCAAATTTCTCGTACTTCAACAAATAATAACCTAACCTGCTCTGCCAAGATCTAGGCAGGTCTGAGTAATGATGTTGAGGCCTTGAGGGTTTTGCATATTTTCTTCCAGTTAAAATGTAGATTAAGTTGTCATCATCATCTGGTATTCCTTAGTCATTCTTCTGTCCTGTCCGGAAACTACCAAAAATCCTGGCAGGAACAAGTTCCATTCTTAAAATGATGATACCGCACTCGATCCCTCACAATAATCTCCCGGTTGTAAATCTTTGAAATGAGCTTTGTTGCAGAGTGGCAGTCATCGCAAACTCTAAGGTTCTTCACTACGCGGATGGTTGTACCTGGCTTTGTTTCAAGAAGCCCAAAAGCAATTGCAAGCTTCTCACTGTGATACCCAAGTGCAGTTTCCTTCTCCTCCTCATTGATATCGAACAAAACTTGGGATGTGTTTGGAAAATACCCTTCCAATTTCAGCCTTTCAATGATTCTTTCCAACATCAAGTAGATTTCCTGCATCTGTGGGTGTGACCCATCTCCCACTTTTAATTCTTGAACTCTTCCATCCAGATTAATTGTGCTTCTTGCGGTACTCGTTTTTACTCCTCTTTCCTTCATTAGCTTTCTCACATTTGCTACGTCTTCCCACCTCCCGGCCTTGGCATAGATGTTCGATAACAAAGCATAGCGGCCACTGTTTTGTGGCTCCAACTCAAGCAAAATTTTCCCAACTCTCTGACCTAACTCAACATTTCCATGTTTCCTACAAGCACCCAAAAGTGCTCCCCAAACTGCTGCATTGGGTTCCATTGGCATAGAATTTATTAGTTCCTCTGCTTCAGTCAAGAGCCCTACCCTTCCAAGGATGTCAACTACACAACCATAGTGCTCTACTTTAGGCTCAGCTCCATAAATTTGTTTCATAGAATTTAGATATTTTAGCCCTTCATCAACCAAACCGGAGTGAGCACAAGCATTTAGAATACCCACAAAAGTGATATCATTCGGCTTCAAATTTTCCCTCTTCATCTTGCAGAAAAGCCCAATTGCATCCTCTGCGTGACCATGCATAGCAAGTCCTCCAATCATGGCATTCCAAGTGTACACTTCTTTCTGTTTCATCTTCTCAAAAACCTCCCATGCCAAGTGAATACTCCCACACTGAGCATACATGTCAATCAAGGAAGTCCCTAACACGGCATCCAATGGAATTGAATTCCTTTCTATGTATGTATGTATCCATCTGCCTTGGTCAAGAGCTGCCACATTGGAACACGAAGCTAGCACACTCGACAAAACAAATTTTCTCGGTCTAATTTTCTCCCTCCGCATCTCATGGAAAATTTCCAAAGCCTCCTTGAAATATCCTCCGTTATTGCAACCGTCAATAATCGCACTCCAAGATATATCATCCTTTTCGGGCATTTGATTAAAACTCTCTCTCGCCTCTTCAATCATCCCATGCCTAGCGAAACCACTGATCATTGTGTTCCAAGTGCCAATGTTCTTGTCTGTCATATGCCCAAACAACCTTTTGGCTGCTTCTACATTCCCACATTTCATGTACCCATCAATCATAGCATTCCAACACACAACATCTGATTCACCACTTTCATCAAACAAGTTCCGGGCATCCAAAAGTCGCCCAAATGATACATACATCTGAATTCCAGTACTCTTTATGTGCCTATCTCCTCTTAATCCGTGTTTCACCAATTGGGCATGTACTTGTACCCCTTCTTCAACAGCTTGCAATTGGGTACAAGCCTTCAACAATGGAGGGTATGTGTACTTATTAGCCTTAGAATTTGAAACCACCATCTTATAATAAAAAGAGATGGCATTACAGGGCTGGTTATTGTCTAGAAATGCTTTGATCATTGTATTCCATACAAAAACATTTGGGTTTTTGACATGATTGAAAACTTGTGTGGAACAGTCTAGGCTGTCAAAATGAGGATTTGCATAGCACTTCACTAAAGACCCTGCTATGTAATGGTCTTTGAAATGGCTAGTCTTGAGAATCAAGGAGTGAGCTTGCTTGAGATGTTGGAGAGAAGTGGTGCATTTGGTATTCAAGAGATTTAGGATTGTCTTTTGGGAGAATTTGGAGGTGGGTGAGTTCTCTGTTGGAAGGTCTTTTGGTGTGAGATGATGATAAGATAGCTCTGTGGTAGTAGCTGTGCTCATCTTTTCTCTCCCATTCAATGTTTGGCTAAGACACATCTATATCTATATAATAAAAAGTCTTATGTACCATAACTAAAGATTAAGAAATATAAGGATTAGTGTTGTTTGTCGAATAATAAAAGTGTATTCTGGTACGAATAGTTTCGCTAGTGATATAATGGGAGTGTTTGGTGGGGTTTTTTTAGGTCAATTTCTGGTTTTTGGCTTTTAAAAAGTTATTTTGTACTGTTTGGTTAAACTTATTTCAAATAATTTCTGATTCTAACAACTTATTTTAAGTCAAAAAAAGCTGATTCTGAGAAACTATTCGCCCCTTACTTCTGATTATCAGCTTCTGCTATAGACATGTTAATTCACGGTTATACTCTTAGATTTTTTTATTTTTTATTTTTTTAAAAATAGAAAAAGACACAAATGGACTATAAAATATTATTATTATTTTTTATAAGAAATGTAGATAAATAGTGAATAATAAAAAATAAAAGTTAATTGAAAAAGCTACTTCACAGCTAATTTAACAAACACTACTCAACAATTTAAATCTATAATTCAACAGGTATACCAAACTGATTAATAGTTTCTGATTAAAGTCACAGGCCCTGTTTGGTAGGGCTTATTTCCAGCTTATTTCAGCTTTTAGCTTAATTTAAGCTATTTTGATGTGTTTGGTTCAGCTTAATAATACAGTTTATAGCTTTTTTGTAATTCAAAAATCAACTTATTCTTTGAGTGAGGGAGGAGAAACTTAATTTATAAGTTAAAAATCAGCTTATAGTCACAGTTATAAGCTATAAGCTGTTAGGCTATAAATCACTTTCTCACAATTCTACCAAACGGGACCATAATATATAATCTATTAAGATATAATGTATAATCTATTTTAACAACTATACCAAAGAGGATCAATTAAGTACTATCACACTAGTCTGCTAGGGAGTGGAGGAGTTTTATCCGTGATAAGATTTGAATCGTTAACCACAAATAGAAGTTTCGGCCAATTAGATAGTCACTATTTATTGGATACCATCTTAACTTGAAGTATATAAACATTGTAAGACATAAATTGGAACAACTAAATTATTTAAGCTGTTCGAATTTGTTAGGCTTAGTCTGTTTCAATTTAAAAAGCAGTTTTTTTTTTTTTTGTAGTTACGTGTAGGTCTTAATAAGTGAACTTATAAAAAATTATTACAATAAAATTATTTTTAGCGATAATTTTACTAAGACTTATTTTTAATAGGACTCGATAAGAATTAAGTCTAACTATTAAGACCTACTGATAGTTTAACAGTGATGGTGTGTGAAGGTGTAACAATGCAACAATAAAAAAATAAGGGCAAATTACATATACACCCCTCCAGGTTTGACAAAATTACAGATACCCCCCTGAGGTTTGAGAAATTACGAATTCCCCCCTGAATGCTATATTTGCATAAGAAATTAGGGGGTAATTTGTTATGAAATATAAACCTCAGGGGGTAAATTGTTATGAAAATACAAACCTCAGGGGGTGGGATGTAATTTCCGAAACCTCAGGGGGGTATCTGTAATTTAACCAAACCTGGAGGGGTGTATATGTAATTTGCCCTAAAAATAAAAAGAAAAAGAAAAATTTTCAAAAAATCAATTTATGTATCATTTTCATAAAAAACTTTTTATTAATATGTTCTTGTATTAAAAACAAATCAATCCTTAGACTTAATACCAAAAACACCCATGTAAATAGATATATCACCAATTTTTTCAATGAACAATAACCAAAGAGTGGCTCATCATAAAGCCACTAAAGCTGCTTTAGGCCCCCAGTTTGGAAGGCCCCATAATGTAATTCCCATACTCGATGTGTAATATGTTGGAGTTATGTAATACGTTTCGGATCAACGTTACATATAACTTTTCTCTAAAAAAAAAAAAAACCAAAAAAAATGTTCGTTTAAAATTTTTAAAAAATAACAATCTCTGTCTTGAGATTCAATATATATATATATATTTATAAGTTTTATTTGGAAGACTTATTTAATGTAAAGTTCTATGAATAACCTTTTAGAGTTTGAAATCGTATTTAAATAGGAATATGTTCCATAAAGTCCTATGATATAAATTGTAAATAAATGAAAGTAGTATATACTATTATACTTCTAATTTGTTTTCATATTGTACCTTTATTTTCTCATTCATCATATCACATTTGAAAAGGCTTTTAGGAAAGACAAGCCTACAGACAACAACCATGCGAGTTTTTTTCTCCTTGATCGCAGGATTCCAGTGCATTTTCAAAATCTTGCTTAAATGGATGTAGATATGGTCGATGATATGATGAAGTTTGAGGGTTGTGTGTTGATTCCTTCAACAAATTTCGATTCCAATCGGTTAAAGAGAAGATGCATGTTTTTTTGTGTTTTTTCTTATTTTTTGAAGTGTGTTGTTGTTTGTTGAAGTGTGAATTGTTCATTTTTAATAAGGTATTGACAATCTATTACACTCATTGATAGGCACACTTTGGCTAATGTTCTGATTGAATGCGTGTATTTGACATTGTGATGGTTGATATTTTTTGATATATTCAACGTGTGAGGTGGTATATATGGGTTTAAGAGTTGGGTTGGGGGTATTTTGTTTTGGTTGTTAATTGGATGTCGAATGTGAACCACGTCGTAGGATGCCAATTGTACATTAGGACTTAGATGATCATGTTACGATATATGTTACATTTAGTGTATAACGTTAATCCACATACACCATGTAGTAGATGACATTTGTGTATTTGTTTGGTTGTATATGTGTTTGAATGTATATCGTGTCTTTGTTGTAATCAGTATTTACATATATGTTACAACATGTTGCGCAAAATTATTAGGGATTTGGATTTGTAACTCAATATAGATTGAATCACATCACTCGATGTTGAAGTTACGCTGGATTGGGGGTGATGGTGGTTCAATACATGGGTTGAGTTGCGATGTTACATGTTATATTTAGGAAATTACATTATTCATAATTCAACGATGAAGTATTGCAATGTCATGTTGGGTTTGGGATGAGAAACATATGAAAATGTTACGGTGAGTTTGGGATGTTACATGTTATATTTACATTGGATTTGGGATGAGAAACATATGAAAATGTTACGTTGGGTTTGTAATGTTACATGTTACATTTATGTTTTGAATTTCAAATTTTCAACCATATAGATGATCATAATCTATGACAACATTTGATTTTCCATATTTGGTATTGCCATTAATCAAGTTATTTTGAATTTCAAAAACATATAGAAATGTCACGTTGGGTTTAGAAATGTCACATTAGATTTGAGCTATTACATGTTACATTTACGTTTTGAATTTCAAATTTCCAACCACGTAGATATGATCACAATTTATGTTAGCATTAGATTTTCCATATATGGTATTGACGTTAATTATGTTATTTTAAATTTCAAATTTATAACCATATAGATATGATCATAATCTATGATAATATTAGATTTTTCATATATGATATTGACATTAATTAGGTTATTTTAAATTTTAAATTTCTAATCATATAGATAGTATCACAATCTATAATAACATTGGATTTCTCATATATGGTATTATCATTAATCAGGTTATTAATTAATTAAGATTGGGGATAGATGTGTCCACAAGAAAATCACAAAACTTATTGAGTTATAAGTTTTTTCATAAGATCATATCTTGTATAAATCTTTCAAATAGGACATGTAAATAATTTATCAAAAAAAAATTCATTATCAAATGTCCTTAATCATAAATACTGAAAGTACACTTTTTATTCAAAAGGCCATAATAGATCTCTTTGTCCAAGAGCCCATAAAACAATTGTTTTCCAAGGCCCAAAAAAAAAAAGGCCCTAATTGTAAAGACTGAAAAAATATTTTAAGAAATTAACAAGTATAATGTTTCAATGAAATTTCTATTAAATCGACGGTTAGTTCATGTATTAATAAAAGTCAATAGAAATTTTATTAAAAAAATAGTTTCAGTTGTCTAAAGGTCCAAAAAAAATCTCCTCTTACAAAGCCTAGCTAAAACAAAAAAAAAAGCCTTCAATCAAAGGCCCATTAGTAAAGGTTGTAAGTAAGTTACAAAAATTTGTATTCAATAACAGAAAAATAAATATACATTAAAATCATCTAAAGTTTCGTTTGGGAAGTGGGTTGGCTTTTTGATTTTTTTTGCTATTTTAGTTTGGGGCTAAAAACCTGATTTGAGAAAGACTTTTGCCTATTTTGATTTTTTTTAGTTTTTTTGTGAGAGAAATAATGCAATGATTATAGGTTAGATGTAATATTTTATCTTATTGGACTAACAAACCTATTTAATTTTTTGTGACTATTTTAATCAAAAAAATCTTCAAACCAAACTTCCCAAACATAGGCTAAATATATTTAAAAAAATCTATTATTAAAATTTTATTTTATACCTCGTCAAAGGCTGAGCCAATCCTGACTATAACTAGAGGTCTCACCTACTCAGAGCTCACTCTCTCTAAGAGGATGGAAAGACTTACTTTGTCCATCGTGAGCAATCAAAAAAAAAAAAACAAAAATTAGAAAGTTATTGTGGTGATGTATTTTTAAGGTCGTGCCACGTGGTCGAAGGCCGAGGTGTTGACTGAGGTGCCACGTGGACGAGCCAGATTGTCAAGGTGATTGTGATATTGTCGACATATGATGCAGTAATACTGGAATCCGAGATATTTGGATAGAGAACAAAAATCCTAGATAAGATGAGGCCCTTTGTTCGGACAGAGATAAGGCTTTTAAGAAGTTCATCCATATCTAACTAAGAGTCCGAGATACGTGTTGTGCTTGAGTCCTATGAAGTAAGATTTTTAGGGAACGGGGACACTGCTAACTATAAAAGTGAGGCACCCCCATAGATTTAAAATATGCTTTTACTTGTGTACTGTTATTTGAGCTAATATCTTGTGAGATAAGTGACTGACTCAAACATCAGAGTGCCTTCGAGTGAATAAGCCATCATGGTATTCTTATCTTCTTGTGTGCAGGT